AATCTGGTAAATGGAGAATGGTAACAGACCTTAGAGCAATTAACAAAGTAATTCAGCCAGTGGGCTCTCTTTCGGGGAGGTAGGAGCACTGCAGGAGGTAAGATTTTAGCTCTGTCTGAGCTCTGACCTCTCAGCTTTCTCTTTTACATTGGTTCTGTGTTTCTTATTTTAATAAGACGGTTGGTTACATCTACACCTCCTGTGCTGTGTTCCAGAGCCATGGGGATAGCACAAAGGAACCTGGCACTGGGCTGGGTGGCTGCCATCTTGCTGCCACAGATGGCCATGGCAGAGCACCCCAAGGGGAGCTTGGATGTCAAGCCCCAGGTATTCTCGGACCTGACTCCTTTTGAGATGAGGATGGTGCACAACTTCCTGATGAGCAGGAGAGAGCTGGAGCTACAGCCGTCCGAGACACCCACCTTGGCCAAGAATTCCGTGTACCTCATAGAGATGCTGCTGCCCACGAAGAAAAAGGTGCTGGATTTTCTGGACAAAGGAAAAGCGACTCCCGTGCGGGAAGCCCGAGTCGTCATCTTCTTCGGTGCCCAAGAGCACCCCAATATCACCGAGTTTGCTGTGGGGCCCCTGCCACAGCCCATCTACATGCGAATGATATCTCCCGGGCCTTGGCACCATCCATCCTGGACATCCAGACCCATCAACAAAGCAGAGTACAGCCTTATCCACCACACCCTGAAGAAGGCCACTGAGCCCCTGCATCAGTTCTTCCTTGACACCACTGACTACTCACTAAAGGACTGTGATGAGGATTGTCTGACCTTCACGTATGTGGCCCCCCATGTCACGGAGCCTGACCAGCGCCGTAGCTGGTTTATCTTGCAACGATATATGGCAGACCAGTCCCTGCAGCCCACGGGCCTGGAGATCCTTCTGGATCACGGGAGCACAGATGTACAGCTCTGGAAAGTGGAGCAGGTCTGGTACAACGGCAAACTCTTCAACAGCCCAGAGGAACTGGCTCAGAAGTATGAAGACGGAGAAGTGGACATAGTGGTCATTATGGAGTCACTGCCCAAGGACACAGAGCAGCCCCAACCCTCCTCTTTCTCAGTTACCCCAAAGAAATCCCCCACCACCATCAGCATGGATAGACACAGAGAGGCTGAGTTCTACATCCCTCCCTATAACATAGAGAACAACACAGTGTATTACAGAAATTGGATTTTCTCCTTCCGGCTACGACCCTCTTCTGGCTTGCAGATCCTGAATCTTCAGTTCCGGGGTGTGCGCATTGCCTATGAAGTCAGTGTACAAGAGGCTATGGCACAGTTTGGAGGACATATACCTGCAGGCATTCGGACCAAATACATGAATGTGGGCTGGGGCCTAGACAATGTCACTCTCCAGTTAGTCCGTGGCATTGATTGTCCACACACAGCCACCTTCCTGGAAGTCATCCACCACTATGACACCGACAAACCAGTCTCCTATCCGCAAGCTCTCTGTCTCTTTGAGATGCCAGTAGGAATACCAATCAAACGCCACTTTGACTCCAACTTTAAAGTCAACCTCAACTCCGGTGCAGGGTCGAGTGAACATGTGCTGGTGCTACGGACAATCTCCACAGTCCACCACTATGATTATATTTGGGACTTCATCTTCTACCCCGATGGAGCGATGGAAACAAAGATGCAAGCCACCGGCCTGGCCCATGCTACCTTCTACCAGCCCAAGGAGATGAGATACATCTCTCAATCACATACCCATCTATTCAGCAACATCCACACTCACCTTGTACATTACCGTATTGACCTGGATGTAGCAGGTAGGACTTGGGATCACACCAACTCAGACACTCAACTACCACCCACATATAACTTCACTCCACAGGTTGGGGCTAAGACTCCTTGGCATAATATCAGGAGATTGTTTCAGCCACATTCCATGCACAGAGAAATACACACTCCTGGAAAATGGTAGCAGTGAATGGTACCCTAGCATTACCCTGATTGTGGTGTGTGTGTGTGTGTGTGTGTGTGTGTGTGTGTGTGTGTGTGTATTCATATTAGGTCTGGGTAGAATGGTTCATAGAATGGGAGAGGGGAGGTCTCATGGAGGTTTAACAATGCTTCTGCATAGCTGTTTGAGATGGGTTCTAGTACCATCTGGGTGTTTCTTATAAATGTCATCATAGAAGAATGGCAGAGAAGTGGTGTTTGACATCACATCCCATAACCAGACAGGTGGCTTCCATATGCTCATTCCCACTGGGTCCTCTGGTCAGGAGAACACCGTCCTCAAGCTCCAGAAGCATAAGCTTCCTGTTTTCCATGGTTAAACCACAGCAAAAAGGCTGGAGCAAGCTCTCTAGAGAATGGTGGGATCACACGGAAACTGCCACAGTTGCCAGGAATGACCCAAGAGCTGTCCTCTAGCTCCTCTGGTTTCTGGGTTGCTAGGTCTGGTAGCGCACACTGCTAGCCCAGAGTCTGCGCCTAGCACAGCTTCTTCCCAGCAGCTGTCTGTGGATGTTGTCTAGTTGGAGACCCTAGAGTAGAGGAAGACAATGTCTGTTTCAACAGCTGATTCTCAACATTTCTCTCCTCTGCCTCCAGGCATGAAGAACAACTTCCAGACAGTGCAAATCATCCGGGAAAACATCACCAGGGACTCAGGACATCATGTAACACGGAACACCATAAAGCGAATGACTTATTCCCAGGAGCAGCAGGCAGCCTTCCACTTCGGAAACCCACTTCCCAATTACCTGGTCTTTAGCAACCTCCAGAAGAACTATTTAAACCAGGGGAGCAGCTACCGTCTGCAGATCTACTCCCAAATCCATCAGGTGGGACTGCCAGGATGGCAAAAGAAGAGAGGTGTCTCTTGGGCCAGGTGAGAAAACCTAGTGAGTTTGGGGAACCTGGCCATGGCCTACAGTGATTGTGTGTTCTCTCTGAGTTTTTTTTTTTTTTCATGGAAGGCTCATGGTTGTGTTTGCATATGGGTGAGCATCCTTGCGCACTCAAGGAGGGAGTGGAAGTACTTACAGAGATCCTGGCCCTAAGATGGTCATGGGCAATTTTCCAGACCTCTAGGGTATAAATTCATTATGGACCAAATTCTCCATCCTTGACACTGGGGATACTCTCTGGGAAGAGACCAGATGCAACCCCAGTTCCCAGAGCCATCTTCTTCTTGTCCTATAGGTACCCCTTGGCTGTGACCAAATACCGAGATTCTGAGAGATGCAGCAGCAGCATCTACAACCAGAATGATCCCTGGAACCCTCCGGTAGTCTTTGAGGACTTCATTCAGAACAATTCGAACATTGAAGATAAGGTAATGCCCCAGTACCCACTGCCCACCTCAGGCCTGTCACCAACCACTGCCTAGACCTGTCACTGGTCCCAGGAGTTATGCTTACTGGGTGGTACACAAGTTCAGGGGTCGTGGCAGATGGGTCTGCTTTTTTAAATGGGACTGAAGACATCTCAGGAAGTGGGTAGGCACACCTGCACACAGCACAAGCTGGAGAAACCTCAGGTGGCCGGTACTCAGCCCTGCCCTGTCCACTGAACCCTTTGTCTCCCCCCCCCCCGCAGGATTTGGTGGCCTGGGTCACAATGGGCTTCCACAACATGCCCCGTTCTGAGGAGAGCACCAACATGACCACACCTGGGAACTCCGTAGGCTTCATGCTCCGGCCCCTCAACTTCTTCCAGGTCTTCTAGAGACACCCAGATATAACAGGTGCAACCCCATCAGTCTCTGCATCCCGGAGGATAGAGCCTGCCTGACGCCTCCTCCCTCCAACCCCAGTGGGATCTACAGCCCTGTGTGTAGAGTCCTGCCCCAACACCTGTTTAATAATCCCAGATCAGCACAAGGGGAGACAATAAACCCTTCAGCTTCCATCCTTGAATGCTGCTTCTTAGTGGCAGGGGGAGGGGATGGGCCACACCCAGATGGGTGGCCATGGTTCCATTCAAGCTTGCCTACTGTCCCCAGAAGGACCTTAATGACAAGGGCAGAGGAAGCCCATGGGATACTGGAATGCTCTACCAGGTAGGTTTTTCAACCTCTCTGTCAGGAAGGCTGTGGGGAAATGTTCCACTCATTGACAGCCATGCAGAGTATGGGATACTGTGGAGATATCAAAGAAGACTATCAACACTTTCATCCTGTGACCACTGTTCTTACACCTAAGGTTTCCTCCGTGCCCACCCTGTGGAGTCTGCATGGAGCTGTCACTCATGATAACTCTTAGAGTCAGGCCCCCAATAAGGAGGTTGATGGATCAGAAGAGACAGTCATGAAAGCCGGGGTGGGAGCAG